TCAAAGAACATTAACAGGTTAGTGAGACAAGATCTTCCCTTACAGAACCCATGTTGAGTCTGCCTCAATAGGTTTTGTTCATCTATGTGCCTACTAATTCTTTCCTTAATAATGGTTTCCACCAATTTACCCGGTATCGACGTCAGACTGACAGGCCTGTAATTTCCCGGATCTCCTCTGGAACCCTTTTTAAAGATGGGAGTGACATTAGCTACCTTCCAGTCCTCAGGAATGGAGGCTGATTTTAAGGAGAGATTACATATTTTTGTCAGGAGATCCACAAGTTCACAATTGAGTTCTTTCAGAACTCTTGGATGTATGCCATCTGGGCCTGGTGATTTATCAGTTTTTAAGTTGTTTATCAGTTTTAGGACCTCCTCTCTCGTCACCTCAATCTGACTCAGGTCTTTCAACACCCCTCCCGAACTCAGCGGCTCTGGAGTGGGCAAGCACCTCTCATCTTCCACAGTGAAGACGGAGGCAAAAAATGCATTTAGCTTCTCAGCCATTTCCCTATCATCCTTCAGTACTCCTTTTACCCCTTGGTCATCCAAGGGCCCCACTGCCTCCCTGGCTGGTTTCCTGTTTCTAATGTATTTGAAGAAAGTTTTATTGTTGGTTTTTACGTTTTTTGCTATATGCTCCTCATATTCCCTTTTTGCATGCCTGACCACAGACTTGCATTTTATTTGCCATAGCCTGTGTTCTGTTTTATCAGCCTCACTGTGACTAGCTTTCCACCGCTTAAAGGAATCCTTTTTACCTTTTACAGCTTCCATTACTTTGTTTGTTAACCATGTAGGCTTTTTCTTATACCTGTTTGTGCCTTTCCTAACCTGCGGAATATATTTTATTTGAGCTTCTAGAATTGTAGTTTTAAACAGTTTCCAAGCTTCCCCAATGGTTTTGACCCTTTCTACTTTTCCCTTCAGTTTCCTCCCCACATGTCCCCTCATATCAGAAAAATTACCCCTTTTAAAGTTAAAAGTGGTTGTGTGAGTCTTTTTGGCCAATTCCCTATTTGTACAAATGTTGAACTCAACAACATTATGATCACTGTTTCCAAGCGGTGCAATCACTTTTACATCTCTCACCAGGTCTTGAGTGTTACTTAGGACCAAATCAAGGATCGCCTCTCCCCTGGTAGGTTCCGTGACCATCTGCTCCATAGCACAGTCATTTAGAGTGTTTAGAAACTCAATCTCTCTTTCCCGACTAGAACACATATTGACCCAATCAATGTGTGGGTAGTTAAAATCACCTATTATGACACAGTGTTTTTGTCTAGCCGCTATCTTTAATGCATTCATAATCCATGACTTTCAGGAATGCAAGCGCACGCGTCCACACACACTACCAAAATACGATAATTTTGTCTTCTCTCTGATCTCTTCATCATTGTGAACACAAACAAATCTGCCTTATACTTAATCAGACCATCAGTCCATTAAGGTCAGTATTGTCCACTCATACTGGCAGTGCCTCTCCAGGGTCTTGGGTAGACGTCTTTCCTGTCACCAACACCTGAGCCAGTTTGGCGTAGTGGTTAGGAGCGTGAACTCTAATCTGGAAGAACTGGGTTTGATTCCCCACTCCTCCACATGCACCTGCTGGTGTGACCTTGGGTCAGTTACAAAGTTTTCAGAGCTGGTCTCACCACGAGCAGTTCTCGAGAGAGCTCTCTCAGCCCCACCCACCTCACAGGGTGTCTGTTGTGGGGAGGGGAAGGGAAAGGAGATTGTAAACCGCTCTGAGTCCCCTTCAGGTAGTGAAAGGTGGGGTATAAATCCAATCTCTTCTTCTTCTTCTTCTTTATCTGGAGATGCTGGGGTGTTCAGGATGCTGAAACTGATCTAGTACATATTTATTCCACCTTTCCTCTGAGGGGAGCTTAGATCACATGGTTCTCCTTTCACCATTTTGTGCTCAGAACAGCTCTGAGAGGTAGGTGGCCCTGGAAGTGGACACTGGGCAGTGTCATCATGACAGAGTGGGGATCTGGACCCAGATCTCCTAGATCCTAATCCGAACTCTAACCATTTTCAAAAATAGTACCGGTGTTTGTTCTCTGCTCCGCTACAGCCACAAATCCTTCCTTACTGTTATCCTCTCTCTCTCGGGATCTCTGAGCTCCACTCATTTCAGCATTTCAGAGACAGCCAGTCTGGTTTGGTGGTCACTGAATATAACATTGGAAAATGAGAGGAAACTAATGGAGAGCCCAGGCTAGCCTGATCATATCAGATCTTGGAAGCCAAGCAGGGTTGGCCCCTGGCTAGTATTGGGATAGGAGGTCTTCAAGGAAGTCCAGGGTCATGACACAGAGGCAGACAATGGCAAACCACCTTTGAAGCCTCTCTTTCCTTGAAAACCCTGCAGGGTTGCCATGTCATCTGTGACTTGACAGCATTTTCCACCACCACCAAGGGGCACACTAGTTCATTTATCCTCCATCAGTTTTATCTATGTTGGTTTGGATCAAACGTCCACAAAACAAGGAGTTTGAGGAAACGGATGTTCCACCTTGCTGCTTCCCCCAGCCCCTGCCAAAACCCTTTGCTGAATGTCAGAAGACCCTCTGAAATGAAGTGCCACGTGGCAGGAAGGGGTGCAGAAGGAAGGGGAGGACATGGTGGATAAACAGTCTAAGGCAGTTTATTGCATCATCGATTAGCATGACACCCTACTTCCAAGGAGTTCAAGGTGGGATGTATGGTTCTCCTCACTTCATTCTGTCTTCATCACAACCCTGTAAGGTAGGTTAGGCCAAGGGAAAGTGACAGTCTCTAGCACTTTTTTTTGTGTGGACCTATAAAGGGAAATGTACAGTTACACATTTCCCCTTATAACTCTGCAACAGAAAGGGCCAGTTCCTTTCGAAAAAAAATGAAAACTGGGAATTAGTAGATCATGGCAACAGATCGTCATGAGATTATAATGTTATAGTGAACTAGCACATCTGGTCTCCGGTACGTGTGTGTAGGAGGGAATTGTAGTCACCAATGATGAAGCAAGGCAAATGGTGCAGATGTGAGCGGGACCTGCAAAAATACTCACCTGCCCACCCATGTGTTGCCCAAAAGCACTTTGATGGCAATCTTTCTAAAAAGATTGTTCCAAATCAGGTTTGGGAAAGATCATAGCAAAGCAGGGGAAAACACAGAAATGGGACAAATAGAGAGCAATGCCATGTGGATGCTCCCCAATGCAATGCTTCTGGAAGGCAGGTGAGCTGGAACAAAACCTCCATGTGGTTTCACATTCTGGCATCGTGAACCTTAAATAACAGTAGTTAGTTGAGCGGCCTGCCTTTGAACAATTGCATAGAGCAAGGGTTTCTTTAACAAAACAATATTTCTGTGGGATGTCTGAACCAAGCTTCCAATTTAACAATGGCATCCAGTAATAACAGTGACCGAGTATTCTAAGCTGCTCTGCCATTGGAATCCCTGCTCAATGCAGGGAATCGATCCTAGGGAGGTTCATGCAGAGTGCTATGCTGAGATTGACCACTACCCATTGTGACCTGTGCCAAAGAACTCCCCTGTGGGTGCTCACTCAGTGCACAGTGTGTGTGTGGGGGGACAATGGGCCATCTATCCTTTGGGGAAGCTCATCTGCATTACTGGTCTTTTCACTGACACATCTTTGATAGTAGCACAGCAGCTTTAGAGCCATAGTGATGAAAAAGGAAATCCCCTGATTTGAATCTCACCTCTGCCATGAATTTACTAGGCACTCTCAGGCAAGTCACCCTCTCTCAGCTTCAGTTCCTCTCCCCTAATCTGCAATATGGGGATCTAATGGCCTACCTTACAGGACTGCTGTAAGAGTTACAAGATCAGCACCTGGTGTGCAAAGTGCTTTGAACATTCAAAAGTACTGTACCAAACGGTCAATATTCTTATTATCACTGGCTTTCAGAGAATGTAGAGGTGCCCAGAAAGTAGCATAGAAGCCCCAGGTTTAATCAGATTTAATAGAAAAATGCAGCAGCCGCGTTAGTCCAAATGTGTAACGCAGGCCTCTCTGCCCAGTACCACCCCATAATACAAATAACTCAGGCCATGCAAGTCAAAAGATATGCTTTATTTCTGAAATGACATAAGGCAGATGGGGAGGGAGAACAGGATGGAAAGGTAATGAAATGCAATCAAAAAGCCATAAAAATGGTTGTCTTTCAATTCAGAGTTTACAGTTTTGCCCTCTGTGTCAATGTTCCCTGTGTTCTCTCTGCAATAACTGCATTTGTAAATGGGAATTAAAGAAAAAAATCTTTCGAAGGTGAAATAGGAAAAAAAAATCGGTTTTCAGGAAGAGTTATCTTTAGCTAACCATTGATTAAGAACGACAGTTTATCTCTTCTCACGGACAAAAGATCACTGCCAGAAACGTCACCACAAAAACATACCTACAAATGGTATCCATTCCAGGTAACTAAAGGAGGCAAATAAGAACCCCAGCTGCAATAAGGCATTTTAAAGCTGTAAGAGTGATAAAGTACAAGCTTTTGTTCCTTGGCAGCAAACTGGGATTTCAGTCGAGAGTTGGCTGCTGGTTTGTTAATCATTGTGTATACTAATTGTGGATTGTTACAATGACCAAATTCTCTTGTGGTCACTGGTCAAGGAGATACCCCTTTAGGGAGAATGCAGGGAGATGAGAGGGGGGGCAAGAAGCGCATAACCCGGGGTTTAATATGCAAAACCAGGATTTGTAACACGGGGGGCAGACTGACCATACTTCATTGCACAAGCCACGTTTGAAAAGACCCAGCTTGCTATGATGTCTCCAATCAGGCTTGGCGACAGGACTTTATATTTTGTGTATGCCGCAGTGGCTCTTATTTATTACTGCTCTCTCTCTATTTTTAAAAAAATAAACTCTCCTGTTTTTATAGTCTCTTGACTGTTTATGACTCTTGAAGTTTTGGTGTATAATGGTCTTTAGATTTCTACTGTAAGGATATTTTTTTTAAAAAAATAATACAAACAGTGAATTCACTGCTTTAATTTGAGATGCTGATGTCTACCCACATAGAAGAAAGGAACCACTTTCTGCCCGTTGAAAGAGGCTCTTTTCGGAATCACTTTCCCCTCTATGTAAAAAGTCACTTTACCTGCTTCATAATTCAAAAATACCCCAATGATCCCAGGGCGTACGGGAACTGTTTGGGAACGATTTTCTAGTGCCAGAAACCACCAGAGGCCCTCTTGCCAAATCCCCTCCTCTGGAACAAGCTTGAGATGGACCTTCCTGGCCACACGCTCTAAGGCCACCCCCACTGCCCACTCCCTCTGGTCTCCGAACTCCACCTCCCAGTAATGCTTCCCAGATGTAAACCCAGGGAGGCCCAGCAAAGCACGATTCCTACTGAATCGTTCAGCATTGTCCGGCACATCTGGGTTTCTGCCTCCTGATTCCACGTAGGTCTTGTCTGTAGATACGGTGAGCCCTTTGTACGCTGTCAGGGGATTAAAAGTCACCTTGGCTGTGGGACAGAAAGAGAGACGGCATTGCAGAGTTATGGGCAGAGTCAAATTCTCGAGGGGAGGACCTGATCAGCCGATATTGATCTAGGCTCCAAATTGCACGCTGTTCTAAGGCTGCACTTCTTCCCTTCTCAGTCCGACATCTGTGCCTTTGTCCCTTCCCATGCCGACATCGTTGCCTTTAACGGCAGCATGGCAATGCCCCCCCCCCCCCACCCACCCACGCAGGGATGGAGGGCAGTTTTCCTTGTTGAACAACCTGCAGCTCAGTGAAGGTTTCCTCACTCTCTCTCTATGCATCTGCCCTTTCTCCCTCACTACCCCTTATGCCTGAAGTGGTCCCACAGGACACCTGTGTGTTCACTTCAAGGGGCTGGGGCCCTGGCTCAGGGGTAGAGCATTCGCTTTGCGTGCAGGAGGTCCCAGGTTCAGTCTCCATCAAATGGATCAGGTAGGCAGTGACACGATAGGCCCTGGAAAGTCTATGTCATACCAATGGTCCTCGATAGACCGAGGAAGCTTTATGTGTTCATCCCTCCTCAAAACCAATGAAGACCGGTGCAACCCTTGGCTCTCCCCTCATCTCCCCTCTTTCTATGGAAACAAAACCTAAGCAGAGGCAACTGAAATGAGGGCGTATTTCCCCCAGTTTCCCTCTCCTCCTCCCTTCCAAGCCTGGGCAGCTGTCTAGTGCTCCATAAAGCACCCGCCTGGTGATGGCACCATATAAATAGATCTCTCACATTTTTATCTCTCCAAGGCACTTAGAGCAATGTACACAGTTCTCCCTTTCTCCATTTAATTCTCACAACAATGCTGCGAGGTAGACTAGGCTGAGAGAGCGTGGCTGGTCCAGTTAAGCTTCATAGAAGAATGGGGCTTTCACCTCAGGTCTCCCAGGTTCTGGTCCCACATTCTTACCACGCTAGCTAAACGGAGGGATGATGGTGTCAATAAGGATAGCTCTCCCCTTGGGAAGCTTCCCCTGTTGAATTTTTGCCTTGTTCAGCATAGTGGTCATTTCAGTAAAGAAGGGGACAACTCGGCTCCCAGGAATGGAAGAAGGGGAAGTGAAATACTCTTCTGTGTGGACTGAGGGAAACCTTTTCTAATGCAATCCCGCAGGGCCTGTAAGGCAGAGATGTTCTGCCAGGCTTTTGTTTGAGGACAGCAACGGTTTCCCTCATAGCTGGCACCCTCGGCTTTTCTTCCACCTTGCCTGCTTTGGCCTCCTCCTTAACCTGCCCACGAGACAGAAGAACAGTCCAAAGCAGGTTTCAGATTAAATTATAGACACCATCTGAAGACTGTGAAATTCAGGATTAACTGATTGTGGATTTTAAATTGTATTTTCGTACGTTTTAACCTATTGTAAATCGCCCAGAGCCCTGTGTACTCAGGGATGGGGCGATTCAGAAATTCAATCAATAATAAAACAACATGTTGTGAACTTCTGAATTAGAGAATCTCCAGAATCTGTCCTTGAGGGTTTCTTCCCCCTGAGTGCACATAATCTCAAGGTGGTTGGGAAGAATCATCCATAAAGAATACCCCACTTCTACAGCTCTTAAAAACAAAGGCATTCTTCCACTTCTCATTCGGTGTTCTACTTTAAGCAATGACCAGTCTTCCATTCGTTATATAACTCCATTGCCCCTCCCTATTCCCGGTGCACAATACTACATGCACAGTCTGACTGATTAACACACCCACCTCTTTTCCAGGTACAGCTGTGATTTAAAAATAACTCCCGAGGGGGCAGTTAATAGCATATTTTAGCATAATAGCAAGATGCACTGTTGAGCACCTGACACTGCATTATACGGAGTCCATCAAATTGGGTACTGTCTACTCTGGCTGAATGAGGGCTCTCCGGGGTCTCCTGAGGCAGAGATCTTTCACATCACTCCGATCCTTTAACAGGAGATCATAGGGACCTTCCCCATGCCAAGCAGATGCTCTACCACTGAGCCACAGCCCTGAGTCTATAGTAGTGAGACCTCTTCTGCGGCAACCCATTCCCCCTCCCCCCATCATCATGAGTCTCTCCTTACTTCCGTATTTCTTCTTCAGCGATCTAACCTTGGATTCCAGGTCCTTTTTGGTGCCTTCACACTCAGCAAGAAGACATATTGATAGCCACAGGATGAAGAAGAGTCCTGACAAGGAACAGAGAAGAGTCAGCAATGAAAAGCCTCACATGTGAGGGTGAGGTGGTTCTAGTAACATTTCCTTCCTTCCTTCGTCCCCTCTTCAGAAAACTGCCTGAGACAGATCACAAAATAAAACAAAGTTGCTTTTAAAACAACAAATATGAAATTATAAACAGCAAAAAAATCCAGGGCATAAAACAACATAAAACAAAGTTCAACAGTGTAAAACAATATCCATAAAATACTCCTTAGGCTTGAAACTGACTGTACTAACAGCTAAAAAAGACTAAACCCCATCAGTTAAAAGCCTGAGAAAAAAGAATGGCTTTGGTCTGTTGCCTGAAGGACAGTAAGGTGGGTACCAGGAGAGCTTCCAGAAGGAAGCCATTCTGCCCTGACTTCGATAGCCCAGGCAAGCCTGATCTCATCAGATCTCAGAAGCTAAGCAGGGCCAACCCTGGCAAGTATTTGGATGGGAGACCTCCAGAGAATACCAGGGCCGGGAGGCCAGAGGCAGGCTATCAAGCCAATTCTCTGAAAGTCCTCTGTGCTCCAGTAGGAGTCACCAGAGGTCACTATGACTTCCAGGTATGGGACACACACAAATGCAAAAATACCAGAAAAAGAAAAAAAAGGAAGCCATTACAAAGGCAAGGGGCCACCACCAAAAAAGCCCTGTCTTCACCCACCTTACCTCTGCATGCAATGGGATAGAGAGCCGAGCCTGCGAAGATGATCTTTTAAGTGGCAGGCTAAATCCTTTGATGAGGTGGGCAGATGCTGGTACCCCATTGGCATTTATACCTCATGTTTAGGTTGTAGCTCATTTTACAAGTTTATGAGGTTGCCGGTATTTCTCAGGGTGCTACATGAGGCTGCAATTAGGGTTGCCAACTGCCTGGAGAAAAAAAGAAGTCCTGTCCTGTTAAAAAAAACCCTTAATGTACGAGAACAGGGATCTGAAGTTTTTCATGGCACGGAGGTGAATAACATCACCTGGCAAACAACATCCCAGTAAGCAAGCCACTATTTAAAGGCGCAGTTTCTCTCCATGCAGTTGGCCACCCTCGCTGCCTTAGAACCAGGTGGGCCTTCAAAGAAATGAATGGAACAATCAGTGATTTCCTCATAACCAGCAAAACAACTAGCACCCTGTTGCCATGCCAAACTGTGTTTCACTGTCTGTGTACTGTTATAATTCCAGAGCACTATCTGTGCTCCTTGGTTACAGCAAAAATAAACAGGAGTCTAGTGGCACCTTAAAGACTAACAACATAAGCTTTCATGGACTAAAGCTCCCAAAATGAGGACGTAAACTGATAATCTCTGTAAAATTCAGAAGCCACCTTCCTTAAATAACAACTCCCTTTGCTCTTCTAAACACCTGTTTGTGCTTATAACCAATGCTCCCTCTACGCTGTGGAGTCTTGTGAGCAAAAATTCTACTTTGTGAGCGACTGGCATTAAAGTTGTGACCGAGCAATTTGGCTGCTGCATAAATCAGATTGCTCTGGAGCTGTCCTGCCTGAGCTAAGAGAAAAATGTGTGAGCCAGAGGCTAAAAAACTGTGAGCTAGCTCACACTAACTCAGCTTAGAGAGAACACTGCTTCTAACCCCAGTTCAAGGATTTTTTAACAACATCTTATTCGAGCTCTTCTTTTTTCCCTCTTTTCTGAAGTTACTTCCAATTGCATACCTAGCAGTGACGTAATGGCATTCTGTGATGCTTCTGGGTACACGACTTCAAGTGATGTGATGGCATCCTGGGCCTCCGGTTTCTGCAGTCTTGGGTCCCCCAATGCCCCCCCCTCCAAGTGCAAGAGAATTCTCGGGTCCACACTGCTGGTGTTTTGCTCCACAGCCCTCAAAATCTGACACTGCCCAAGGATAAAATGAGTTTAAGCGGGCCTCGGTTGGATTGTGGGCAGCATCGCTCAAATCCAGAGCCAACTTGCTAGCCACTGCACTGCACCAATTCCCCATTATCCAATACAGACCTCATACCAGGGTGATGTCAGGGGGTGTGGCCTTCTGTCACTTCCGGTGATGTCAGGGGGCGTGGCATATGCAAATAAGTTATGCTAATGAGTTATGCTAATGAGCTCCGGCAGGTCTTTTTCTACAACAAGACCCCTGCTCATAACAGTTCACAGGTGAAAACAGGGTAAGCTTTATAACTCCTCTGTTTCCCCTGCATACAGATTACTGCTAAATTACGCATTAGGCTGCACGGTGACTTGCTGGCCATGTTTACTCTGCATTGGCAGACCCCAGACCAATAAGGTGTTTGTTCCGTAGATTAGAAAGATCCTAGAAGACAACGGCCTTTTACGCATGTGTGCTTTCCGTCACTTTCAGCATACATGTCCATTGGGTTCCCCCCCCCTTCTGCATGTTGGCAGAGTAATTAACACAGCAACGGTGCACAACTTAATTAAAGAGCAGATAAAGGTTTCTTTGGGAATTAATATACTTGATAGGAAAGAGGAGAGACAGAGCCAGGTTCCTAATGACATCTCTAGCTGAGAGAGAGGGTAAGACTGACTGTGGCACTTCTGAGGAGAAGGGGGAAATTGCCTTGAGAGTAGCAATCTGGAGACAAACAAGGAATTATATTTAAAAGGAGAGAAGGTGCTGACCTCACTAGCCTATCTAAGTGTCTTCTTGCTGCCCCCTGCCAGGTCTTCTTCTCTTCTTCACTGTACACCAGACATTGCCTTTTCCCAACACTGCCTACGTTTTCCTCTTTTTAGTGCTCGCTTTCCTTTCTGTTTACTTTTTCACAGCGTGTTCTGGGAGCACTTTTGTGGCGATTTTTTTCCTTCACTTCCAAGTCGAAGTGAATCCAGGAGCTTAATGGTTTCATCCCTTTGCTGACGCCTACTCCCCCCGCCCACATCAAAGTTGTCCCACTCATTCAACCACCTTCTGCCATCCTCCTCCTTTTATTGCCGTACAACCACCATTTTCTTATTTTTTATCCCCCCTCCCCAGTAGTTTTAATCTGATTTGAAACAAGCCTCACCAGTTTGTGGAAATGGCAAACTGAGCATCACGTACTCATCTGTTACTTGTGTGTGTGCATTGGCAAGGATGTGTCCTAGAGACAATATGCATCTGCTCCCTGTGAAGAGAACGAGGTTCCAGAGGCGCTGGGGAAGGACTTCAACTCTCAAGAACGACAAGGCTGTTCCTCAAAGGCAGCAACAGGGGCAAAACAGGGAGAATGAGTGATCAGGTGCAGGGGCCAGAAAATAAGGACTGTTCCTTGTGAACAGGAACAGTTAAAACACTCTTGAACAGGGGTGGCCAAACTGTGGCTCGGGAGCCACATGAGGCTCTTTCACACATATTGTGTAGCTCCTGGCAGGACAGCTGGGGAAGCGAAGGGGAGGCAGGCCTCCCCAGCCAGCCTTCCCCTTCCTGGATAGGCTTAAGGCAGGGGGGAGCAGAGAAAGAAGGCAACTTTAAATGCGTTCTGAAAGGCCCCCCCCCAGCCGACAAATATCATTGGACAAATAAAATATCATTACCAATATCTATTTTTACCCCTTTTGTTTTTATTTTTGGCAGTCTTATTTCATGTCAATAAAAAGCAAATCTGCATATTTTCCAATAAAAACATATCTGCAATGTTTGTTCGTGTCATGCGGCTCTCAAACATCTGACATTTATTGTATGTGGCTCTTACGTTAGGCAAGTTTGGTCACCCCTGCTCTGGAACATACGGTACACACGTTTGGGGAGAAAGTTAACAAATATTGGTGGTCTTCTCATTGTTACCTCTGAATGTCTGAAGGCCGCGGTTTGTCAATGGGAAGTCCCAGAAGCTAAGATGTGAGTCCACAGAACGAGGCATGGCGGTGACACTCAGAAATTCCTCCTGGGTGACAGAGAGGCAAAAATAAGCTGACCCCGAACCCCGAACACCATACATTGTGGGTTGAGTCCAATGTTCCAGTTTTATGTTGGGGATTAGAACAATAAGCATTCTAGCACAGGACGGTCAGTTCTTCAGGGATTCTACCACGGGGATATTTTTGCAGAGATCATATCTCCCACCCTGCTCCTAACTACATTTCTTGCACCCAGCTTCCACAGTATTCACATGTTTGGGATCAGAAGATGTTTTATGATACAAATGGATGGAGATCAACTGGAGAGCTGAAATAAGTTTGAGCGCGGGGGGGGGGAATCATTACAGAATTCTACTTATTCAGATGTGTTTTCAACATTTAGCCGCCTGAATAGTCCAGACTAGCCTGAGCTTGCCAGAGCTTGGAAGCTACGCAGAGTCAGCCATGGTTAGTATTTGGATGGGAGACTGCCATGGAAGACGAGAGTTGCTATGCAAAGGAAGGCAATGACACAGCCACCCTCTGCTCATCTCTTGCTTTGAAAACCCCATAAGGGGTAGCAATAAGGTAGCTGAGACCTGATGGCATAGTCTTTTTCAGCATTTAAACGTATAGTCCCTCAATGCACACTAAGCTTACTAATAGCGTGGAGAAGGAAGCAAACAAAACAAAAAAAATCTCTGTCCCTTTAATGGAGGCTTCATAGGAGGTTATTTACCTCTACGCCATGGAGGGGGGGACTTCGCTTATTTCCTCATGTTGAGCATCTCTTAAAGGGACAGGTCATTTTTCTCCAGGGTGATGGCAATGATAATGCAAAATGGTTCCCTCCACTGCTTGCTCCTTGCATATCCATTTGAGGGAGGATATGGTTTGATCGGGGTTGTTAGGGGGGGGGGGGGGGGCTGATCCAGATTGGGGTTGTAATGCTGGGGAAATGTTAACTCTGCCTTGGGACCATTTCCCCAACTGGAAAACCTTCTCCCCAGCTCCAGCAAAGGGAAAAAAAGCCACAGCACAACAAGAGCAAGGATTTTTTTTTGGGGGGGGGGATAGGATTTTTGATTGGGAAAGACTGGGGGGCTGGAAGTGTTACCCCAACCCCCTTTGTCAGCACCATTGGGCCGATCTGGGTCAGGCCCATAATAAATACACACAGTTACAGTAGGGAATCTCTCGTGCCCTGCATAGTTTGACCCCGACTCAATTTGCCAACTTTGACTTCAAAAATTCCTGGAGATTTGATGGCAGTCTCTGGGGCGGGTAGAGGTTGGATGGGAGATAAGAGCTCAGTAAGGATGGGTCACCATAGAGTCTGTCCCATAAAGTTCCCATTTCCTCCAGGGGAAGAGTAGCCTGGAGGTCAACTGTAATTCCAGGAGATCTCCAGGCCCCACCTGGAGGCTGGCAACCCTAACCACAAGGGACCAGAAGCAGTGCTTTTGAAAGCAATCTGCACCATAATATTCTTACCTTGTGTTCCTATTGGCACCACCCAAAATGCTCTGAGATGCTGGGACGTCTCTGGGGGTAATGATGCCCAGTCTACAGCACCGTGGCCTTTAAGTACTCCTTGTGACAAGAAAGTCAATCTATACTCCCCCTTTCCCCAAAACTGCAAAGTGAACGGCTCAACCTGTTCTCCAGCATTCCCTCAGGGCTATTTTTTCCCCTTTCCCTTGTCTGGAGATTTGCCATTTGGCTCTTTGAAGGATTTAAACCCTTGATGATGCAATTTCCAAGAAGCTGCATGCGCAGGTCCAGCATCAAGATTTTTTTTTAAAAATATATTTTATGGAGGAGGAAAGAGCACTGACCATATGAAGCGGCCTTATACTGAACCACCAGATCATGGGTCCATCAAGGTCAGTATTGTCTACTCAGACTGGCAGCAGCTCTCCAGGGTCTCTGTTTGGTGTGGTGGTTAAGTGCGCGGACTCTAATCTGGGAGAACTGGGTTTGATTCCCCACTCCTCCACTTGCACCTGCTGATGTGACCTTGGGTCAGTCACAAGCTCTGGCACAGCTGTCCTTGATAAAGAGCAGTTTCTGTCAAGAGCTCTCTCAGCCCCACCCACCTCACAGGGTGTCTGTTGCGGGGAGGGGGAAGGGAAAGGAGTTTGTAAGCTGCTCTGAGACTCCAAAGTGAAGGGCGGGGTATAAATCCAATCTCTTCTCTTCTTCTTCTTCTGGCAGAGGACTTTCCCATCACCTCCTACTTTGATCCTTTTAACTGGAGATGCCCAAGATTGAACCTGGGATCTCCTGTATGCAAAGCAGAGGCTCTACCACTGAGCCACAGTCTTTCCCCACTCTGAAGACACATGACAGAACCTCCACAATGACGCACAGAAGAGCAGTGCCTGGCAAGGCACCTGAGGTGTGCGCTGCCTATAGCTCACAGATGAGTGGTAGAATACCTGGCGATCCTAGCAGGGAACTATCAGGGGTGGGGACCGAGGGAAGGTGTTGGGTGATAGTGAGATATTGAAAAAATGGTATTTAGCAGAGATAAGATAGTCCAGCAGAGCCAGAGTAAAATAATTCAGACTCAGAATCCATGTGTGATTAAAATATAAAGTTTTTACTAAATTCTAGCATGGGAAGGGTAACTGGGATGAAAATAACAACAGAGCAAAATCTACTACATCCTTACTCTACAAAGACAAAACTAGGAGAGGGAGAGTATGGCTACTCTTCTTCTTCTTCTTCAGAACACCAAACACAAAGACGGGAAGAGAAGCCATAAAATGGTAAAACACCTTGACACTTTAGTCCCAATCAAATTCCTAGATCAGGGAGAAAATTCCCGGGCATTCTACAGCTAAAGAACATTGGTTACATGAGAAACATGTGACTTCCTGTGAGTAACATAAACAAACATTTAACCCCAGATATACTGAGTGTTTTCAACTTGTAATACCCAACAGAAGGAAAGCATGGGGGGGGGGAATGCTGTGTGTAGACCCTGTTGTTGCCAACACTGCAGTTGCAGTGGCAATGAAAACTACATGGAGAGATGGCGCCCTGTCAAAGCAGCTCTGGATAATCTACTAAAACTGCTCTATGCGTTTATTCCCTGGGGCTTTCCCATCAGGGCAGCACACTGGCCCTGCTCATGGAGTGATGATTGTTATACAAACAATTAAGTGGCCCTGCACACAATTAGCCACCTTTCATTGTGTATTTACACTAGGTGCAGACCTTGGTTTGTTTGTGTGTTTGACCACCTAAATGACACCGCTACAGTCAGACAAAGTGATGCTGATGCGCAAAAAAACACACAATAAGACACTCTTAAAATACACAACATGCAACGCCCTCCTCCCCACGCCTAATGTAACAACAAAGAGGCCTTTAGGGCTTGTCGCATATCCCCTCCCTCCAAAAATCTTTTTGCCCTTCCTCAGCTCTGCAGTGTGGGACCTCAGCCCTCAAAATGTTTCTTAGATATTGGGAAAAGTGGGGAGGGGGACGTGCCTCCCCCAACCTCTGCCCCCAAACATCTAAGAATTTCCAGAACTGGAGCTGGTGACCCTACTCCCAAGGTATCAGGGGCCTGGCATTCTATTCCCTTCTTTTAAAAATCCTGGGTCCTATTATTCTGGCCATCTCTTTTCCCTTCTGAGTCTTAACGTAGCCAGTGAGGAAGGGATATTGCCAATCAGGAGGGAAATGAAGGGAGGAAAACTGAATCCCCCAGAGTCATGGCCTGGAGCCCCCACCCCCGGTGAGTGCTATGGGGTGCGGTCACACACGCCAGGTAAAGCGGGGGGGGGGGGCAAGGCTATTTCCTCTGGAGGAATTTGACCTGCAGTTGCAAGATCACACCTCCCTTTGAAGCTGCGGCCACAGCCCATCAGTGTGTGAAGAGACGCAACTTTGGCTGAGTCATTAATTTAATTTTTTTGCCGTTTGTTTCCCATGCACTTAAACGAAGAATCAATTAATCGCACCTCCGCACTGAGGGCTCCCTATGGAGTTTGCGATGATGCGCATACTAAGAAGGGGGGGAAACAACGGCACAGACTCGGGATGGCCTGATCAGACCATCCCAATGGCATGAGAGTGTGCTGGAACGATCAGACAGGGGAAAGTCTGTATGTGGCTGGTCGCAACCCATTTACTACCAGATTTTCCCCGATGTTGCCGATGGCTGCAAAATGCTTCCCAGATGTTGCTGTCTGATCGCTCCCTTTAAATCTGCCCGGCATTCGCACCTATGTCAGGTCTAATTGTGCATCTGATCGCAGCCTTTGAGAGCCAGAAGACACATCTTGGCTCTAATGTTCTTTGAGTCATCTGGGCTGTGGCACTGATAAAAACACTGACAAAAATGACCGTATTCTTGTTGGGATTCTTTTTAAGTAAGTCAGCAGAGTATTAAGAGACTGAGTCCATGGTGTGTTTAAAATATAAAAGTTTACTATAAACCTAACATGGGGAAAAGGTACACAGGATATAAAATAACAAAGAGCTAATACGGCTACATCCTTACAGCTAAAGGTAAAACGGGAAGAGAATGGCGTCTCCTTCTCAGTCAAAACAAAGAACGGGAGGAAAAACCAATATGCTAAATACTTGACAAATTGGTTTCCAATCAGACTAGCAAATTAGCTCCAAAGTTCCCGGGCATTCTATTGTCTAAACAGATTGGTTACAAACAAACATGTGACTTAACAAACATCATTAAATACTGAAGTGTTTTGACTTGTAACACCCAACAATTCTCCAGATGCTTAAAAGGATATGAAAAATAGACTCCCCTTCTAACTGTGTTGGTCTGAAGCAACAGAACAAAGTTTGAGTGCAGTGGCACCTTTAAGGCCAACAAAGTTTTATTCCTGATATAAGCTTTTGTGTGCATGCAGAAGAAGAAGTGTGCTTGCACACAAAACCTTATACCTTGAATAAAACTTTGTTGGTCTTAAAGGTGCCACTGGACTCAAGCTTTGTTCTCCCCTTCTAACAGTGAGCAGAGCTTTACTTTAGCTAGCGTGCACTGGACTTGGACTGGGGACACAGGAGTTCTAATCCCTGTTCATCCAAGTTGCACAGTGAGTGACCTGGAAAAAGCAGTCAATTATCTTAACCTACTTTGCGTGATTCGTGATTATAGTGAGTTTAAGATGGGAGTAAATCACGTGTATCCCGTGAATGGCAAACTGTTAAATCCATTCCAGTAAACTGTTTCAACTGAGGAGAAATTGTGTCCTTCCTTCAATATTCTTAGAAAGGCTCCTTGTAAAGGTTTGGTAACATAATGAACAATTGCTTGGCTGAGCAATAAGCTATTCCACATTCCCCCACACCTTTCCTTCAGGGAGTTCAGGCTGGCGTAAACAGTTTTTACCTCTTCAGTTTCAAACTCAAACAACCCAGTGAGGTTGGTTCTGCTGAAGTGAGTGTCACCCACAGAACTTCATGGCAAAGGGGTGACTGCACCAGGGGTCTCCCAGGTCCTCGTCTGACATTCTAACCCTCCTTCAGTGTGGCTCACTAAAAAAAACCCTCTGCTTTGTATGCAGAAGGTCAAAGTTTCAATCACTGACACCTCCAGTTATAAATATCAGGTAGGAGGTAATATAGAAGACCTCAGCCAGAGCAGCTGCCAATCTGAGTATACAGTACCAATCCTTGATGGACCAGTGATCTGATTCAGTATGAAGCAGCTTCATGTATTCTTCACATTCATTCTACAGTTTATGCTGTCACTTCTGTGCATGTTGGCTGCAGTCACATCTGTGCATG